AAACGGCTTGGCGGCGATTTTATCGGCGACGGACCGCACGAAGTCCACCGAACTTTTCACATTTCGCGAGGCAGGTGAATTGTTGTTGCCGACGTTGTGGACTTCCTCGGGAGGCTTCGACTGGGGAAGAGAAGGAGATTTCTGGGCGGGGTTCGGGCTCGCGACGGGCATAGATGCCGGAGAAGGAGTCGAGATCTCGTCTTCTTTAGCCATTCGCCGGAGTGAAAAGTTCTTCAATAATGGCGGGGATTTTGAAAAACCCTAATTCTTTTATACAGACGATTTTGGATTTCTGCGAACTAGCGTACTGAGGAAGGAGGACGGAGTAAATTTGCGTTTTAATTTATACTAGTACGAGTATTGTTAAGAAAACAATGCACAAAGAAAATAAAAACGGTAAAATACTTTTTTCCATCCAAACTATCACGGTTTTGGCGCATCAGCATATAAATTATTTTTTTTTACAAACCACCATATGAACTATACGGGTTTGTCAATGTGCCCCTAAACCACATATAAAAGTGGTTTTGACTGAAAAAACTATTTGGTCACCATGTGTGCCCCCTAAATACTTTTACAAACCACCATACGAACTATCACGAGTTTGTCAATGTGCCCCTAAACCACTTTTATATCCGGTTTAGGGGCATATTGACAAACTCGTATAGTTCATATGGTGGTTTGTAAAAAAAATAGTTTATATGGTGATGCGTCAAAACCATGATAGTTCGGATGGGAAAAAATATTTTACCCAAATAAAAATTTATATATTATACGTAATACTACCTCCTATTCTTTTTAAATGTCAATTTGACATTATCAATTATTAATAAAATAAATAACGTTTTGGATATTTTGTACATATTTTTTCATTATTATCTTCATCTACGTTTTCTCATATTCACTATTCATCTTTTCTAAAAATATTCATCTCTATCCTCATTCATATTCACTATTCATCTTTTCTAAAAATATTCATCTCTATCCTCATTAATGAGAGTTATTATTGGTAAAAAAAAATTCATAACAACTGTGCAACTTCTCAAAACGACACTTATTATGAATAGGAGAGAGTATTTAAAAATTTAGATTAGATAAAGTGTGTATTTTTACATTTTAAAATTGTGACTATGTATAATATAAATATAAATTATTTAACTTCCATATGAATCATTTTTTTTATTGTATAACTATAATACAAAATAGAAATAATAGTTGTAAAATAATTTAATATTGTATATTTAGAAAAATTTTAAAATTTTGTAAAGTTGTTACATAATAAAAAAACTAACTAATGATAATAAGGTTTTACTTGTATAATGTCATTTGAATGTTGGTCATAAAGATTTTTATTAAATGAAGTCATTTTTATTCATTGCAAGTTAAATAAAATTTATTGAAACTTTGCCAGCAATTATATATATGTATATTACATTTTAAATTAATTCATAATAACTACAACGAAAAAATAGTTTTTTAATTATTTTTTGAAAAAATATATTATTATTATATTTAAAAAATAACACCGTCACTTACATGACTTATCATCTATATTATAAATTGTTTTTTCAATTTATATCAGACTATTACTTTGTAGTTATGGTAGTCTAAATAATTTTATTTTTTTAAAATCAATATTAATAAGTATTTTGTATATATAATATATATTTCAGATAGAAGTTCATCAAGACATTAATAATTGGATATATTATATATAAAAATCTTCTAATAAATAAAAAATAATAATTATTTTTTAAATATATTTATAACTTAAGTTAGTAAATTTGCTATAATTTTAAAAGAAATATTAGAATGAAAAAAGATTGAGAAATAAAATTATACTTTATAAACCACGTCACGATAGAAAATATTGAAATAATATTACATATAATTAGCTCTTAAAAAACAATAAATATCTAATATATTAATGGATAATTCAAGTATAGTTAATTTTTTATTGGAGTATATTAAAATTCAAAACAACAAACATGATCTCAAAGCACGCGAGCCTACCATTTAGGCTCAGCACATTCGAGAATTTTAAATTGGGGCATTTTTATTTATCTTAATTATTGATTTATTTATGTATTTTAAAATGCATATTTTGAAGTGAATTTGCCTTTGGCAATCCTACCATTTACGTATTTTTTTTAGTTTTGACATGTTCTGGGAGTCATATTTTAAACATACATGTATAATTGTATATAATTTGTAGAGAGAAGATGACAATATGGCATACGAATTAAAAACGAGAAA